CACACAGGAAATTTTAATCTACAATTTGTGACTCTTAAGCAGGCACAAAATGAAGAATCCATTTAATAAAGGATAAGGAAAAAGAAAACTTACATAGATAAGGCACTGCACCATGGTTGCCTGCAATGCTTCAAGTGCAGTGCACTAGAGATAAGGCAATACCACCCTTGTCGAAATATAGCCCACCTCATGGCAGAGAAGTGTACCAGGAGCTTAGGAAATCTAGTTTTGTAATTCAGTAGCATGGAGAGCTTAACCGCTTATGTACACTTAACCCCTAAATACCTAATAGCCAGCACACATTATTCTCTACTGAAACTGTTTCCTTTATTACCTTAGGTGTCTTCTTCATAGACCATGGCTAACATAAATAAGAACAAGCAGATTATGATGACTTAGATCATAAAACTTATTTGAGTAAAAACTTGTTTGACTGCAACATCAAGAAATCAGGATAAACAAAAATGCAAATGAGCAGGCACAACTAACTAATGTCAACAGAAGATACTTGAATAAATTAAACTTACAGTACAAGTACAACAAAATCCTGCAGAAGCAGAGACCACGGAGATACTGTTAAAAGTATATTCCCTGATTATACAATTTAAACTTACTCTTGCAAGGTACCAGAGAAGTGCAAAAGCACTTTAACGGACATCAGATGTTTTATCCTTGCAAGACTACAGGAGCATGTCATGGACCTCCTTTCATAACCTGTGTGAAGATAATATATGAGCAAGCACATCAACATAACACATAAGGACAACATCAGCCTAGAAGAACCAAGTTACTGAGGAGGATTCACACCCTAAAGAATCTGCAATGTTTGTTCAACTAGATTGACATCCATATATAACCAGACAAATTATTGAAGCACTGATGAAAAGTAAAAAAGAAAAGAACATTATTCACAAGGCACCAATGAGGTGCTACCCACATAAAAATATTTGCCGATCAAGATCTTCTAAGTAGACGAGGACGATCACCATCCACACAAAATCATTTGATAAGATGTCAGGTTTCTAAGATATTCTCTATCAATGAGAGCATGACGACCAAACAAAATATTGTAACGTTTGAACTAATGGATAATTGAAGCACAGACATTTCAGCAATTGCAGAACAAAGTGAGCCACCTCACACATAAACTAGA